TTCCATCCTTTTACTGTAAACCTCTGTCTTCTGAAAAAACATAAAGTAATATTGTTTTGTTAAATCATCTGATGTCATTCTTGATATATTTGGGTTTAAATCCACCATCTTACTATTTTTTTTTATTGTGACAACTATTTTGTGTTACTTTTTCCTCTACTTTAATTTGGATTAATCAGTATCTGTAATAATAAAAGCATAATATGCTAATTAGACCGGATAGCCTGGCGTCCTTCTGGATGAAGTTGTGGTGGCGAGGGCCGAGGCAGAGGCGGTTAGAGGTGATGAGGCAGGCAGGCGAGTGGTTAGGGGTGATGAGGCAGGCAGGCATAGTGGTTAGGGGCGATCAGGCAGGCAGGCATGGTGGTTAGGGGTGATCAGGCAGGCAGGCAGGCAAGCAGTTAGGAGCCAGCGGTCCTGGATTGCAGGATTGGGCCTAAACTGGCAGTTGGACATCCCCGAGGGGTCCTGGATTGGAAGAGGGTGCAGGCCGGGCTGAGGGATCCCTCCCCCTTGCACGGGTTTTGTGCACCGGGCCTCTAGTTTTTTTATAATTTCATCACCCCTCCCCTTAGTACCCTCTTCATGCTACTTTGCTTTTACTCTTATGGTGATTACAACATGCACCTATTAGACTTTACAAAGTCTAATAGAAAATAGTACTTTTCCCACTTCCAGACAATGCAAGAACCTTGAAACGCGGTTCATTTAACCCCCTCCTACCTTTTGTGCTGTTGTTGCCATGCTTTTAATGATGCATAGACAGGGGTGGGCAAAATGAGCTTTACAGTTGTGGGTATGCAAAACAGAGTTTATTCTTGTATTATTATTAGTTATTAATTATTGTATTACTTATTTGTATTATAACTGTAAACCTACTTGTGCCCACCCATATTTTAAACCCCATGAGTCATTTTATTGTTTTCACAAGGTTGATCCTCATTTAGATTTACCTACATAGCTGCCCCTCCTATACCCTCATTCCTCCTGCTCCTCCATACTAATATTTTGGATCAGTTTTCCTTTGGCCTGAAGAACTTTTTTTACTATTAACATTTTATGGATCCTCTGCTAACAAATTCTCTCCGTTTTTGTTTGTCTGCAGTGTCATTGTTTTACCTTCATTCTCTCCAGCAGTTCCAGAATTCTAGGTTCACTGCTATTGTTTTCATCCTTTTGAAAATGTCATGCCATTGCCTCCCTCGTCTCCTTGTTTTCTGTTAAGAGTTCAGCTGTTGGTCTTCTGTTGCTCCTTTGGAGGTAATGCTCCTTTTATACTCTGGCTGCTTTTAAGGTTTTCTGCCTTGGATTTTCTGCAGCTGGGTTTTGACGTGCTCAGAGGTGGTTTCTATGTAAACTATACTGCTTGGGCTGATAATCTGTCATCAATTTTAAATAATTCTTGGCTGTTATCTCTTCAAACAGTTCTTTCCTACGTTCTCTCTCTCCTCTCCTGGGGAATTCCAAGTATGTGGATGCCAGAGCTTTCTAACAATAGAACACAGCTCTGCTCTAACTTGGGCCCCTTCCACTCCAGCCCGGGCCTAATTAACAGAGCCCCACCTCCTGTTAGAAGGCTCTGAACTCCTGGTTTTGTTCTGGGAGGCTGCCCCAAGCAGGCTCCTCAGCCTCCTGGCCAATGCCTAGGGAACTGGTGAATGCCTGGAGGGGAAAAGCAGACAGAGGTGCTGGGCTCACCTCAGTGCACTTCCTATCTCTTGGGATTCTTGACTCTTGCTGCCTCTAGGGTTCCAGTGTCTTCAAATGTATGCCTTCAGAACTTTATCTGCCTATTCCAGTTGTTCTTGTCCAGTTTATCTAATACAAGCTGGTCTGCTGAAGCCAGAAACATGAGGTGCTGTGTGTAAATGACACAGTGATGGCTTTTGCCCCTTGGGGCTGCGGGTTTGGTAGAGCCTGGCATGACAACAGTATAAAGCACAAGCAAAATGCTATTTTTAAGGGAACCAGAGAAGACATTCATTAGAATCTGGGAAGGTTTCCTTGAAGAATGGGAAGGCTCATGACCTAGGCTCTTTGGAGGAAAGGGAAGGAATGGAAAAGGAGACACATTGTGGAACAACTGAAACCAAATACAGGCTGATCTGATGGGATAGATGACATGGGAAGGGCTGGAGTGGGGGCAGGGAGAGAAGTGTAGTTGGAACTGAAGCCAGGAAATGTAGATACATACCAGATTGAAAGGTGTCTATGTCCCAGGCCGAATTTAGATATTGTAGAATCAATTTTTTATTTATTTTTTATTTTTGTTAATCTTCACCCAAGGATATTTTTTTCCATAGATTTTTTTTAGAGAGAGTAGAAGAGAGAGAAAGGGAGGAAGGGTGATGAGGGGGGGGGGGGGGGAGAAAGAGAGAGAGAGAGAGAGAGAGAGAGAGAGAGAGATTTTGATTGCCTGCCTCCCACTCATGTCCTAAATGGGGCTGGGGATCAAACCTGCAACCCAGGTACGTGCTCTTGACTGGGAATCGAACCCGAGATCCTTCAGTGTGTGGGACTGATGCTGTAACCACTGAGAAACCACAGCCAAGGTGGAGTTTGGATGTTTTCTATATGTGATGGTGAATTGTTGACGTTTTGGTAGCTTGGGAGTGACGAGTTCTGGCTCTGCCTGCAGTCATGGTGCAACTCTGGTGAAGCCCTTAGCCTTCTCTGCTTCCTAATTTTCTCTTTTGTAAAATAAGAATCATAATCTCTGTCTCCTCCACTCATGCCTCAGCCTCTAGTGAGGGTAGATGAGCTCCCGCATGCAAACGCGCTCTGATGGGCAGGGCAGGGGAAGCCAGGATGCTTTCCTTCAGGGCCCAGCTTTGGTCTGAAGGGACTATCACAGGAACCTATAACCCTCTGGCCTTGTTAGTGAGTCATGGGAGAAGGATGGCTGGATGTTCAGTGAAACTGAGCTTCCACAGTCCTCAGTCCTGCCTGTCCCCTGAGCGCTGTCATCTCCGCCCCAGCACCCACCATGGGGAGGGGCCCTGACGGGCCATCCCTGCGGCTGTGAAACTGCCTCTCGCCAAGTGACATCATCCCTCCTGGGCAGCTCTGGGCAGTTGATGGTGGTGAGCCATGAGGAGTACGATTAGCCTACCCTCTGGACCTGGTTAAAATGAAATGTACGATGTCACCCTTTAGTTTCCACCTCCTGGTCCTGGTTTTGTTTTGGGGGGCCCATATGCCAAGCATATTTCCTTTTCCACGAGACACACCTGCAGTCCCTTTAAGATAGTTGTTCCCTCTCTCTGAATTATGAAAGGGCACATGGTCTTGTTTTATGACCTTACTCTGGAACTCTGGGAGGCAGGCTCTGTCTGGGCCTGGTGACCATGATCTTGAGAATTTTAAATTTTTATTTATCAGATGCTCCTATAGTGTTTATTAGATGTCATTCATTCCACCTTCAGAACAATGCTATGAGCTAGATATAATTATCATCCACTCCACATACGGGAAACTGAAGCGCAGAGAAGGGAAGCATTTTGCCCAAGGTCGTAGAGCTAGTAAGGGCCAGAATGCGGATTCAAACTCCGATTATCTGGCTCCAGAATCCGCTCTTCCCCACTCTGCTGTGCAGCCCTCCTTTCCCCGGTGACAGGCCACTCGGCCTCTTTTCCGTTTGCCCTGAAGAACTCTATGCCTCTCCTCTGTGCAAAGAGCAGGCCGCTCTCAGCCCTGCACCCCTCAGGGTCAGGATCCATGAACTGTCACCAGGGCACCCTTGGCCTCCCCGAGGGTGAGATGTGCGTGAAGGCTGCATTCCGAGGCTGCTGCTTGCAGAAGCCACAGTTCAGCCAAGGATAAGCCCTGTGTCCAGCTGTTCAAGGGGCTTTGCTACTGACCTTCTCACTCCGCGGCCTCGGCCGTCTCGTGGTCCACAGTATAAGACATGCTGCGGCCAGAGGCACGGTGGGCGCGTGCTGGTGTCTGAAGGCAGAGCCCAGGGGGTCAGATGTGTGCGCAGAGGGAACAGCTGCCCAGGAGCAAGTAGGGACAGACTCCAGGCCTCCCGCTGTTATTCTCAGCCCCCGGAAGAGGCTACTTCCATCCAGGTCAGCGAAGGTCCAGAGGGAGGGAGGACCTTACATGGGAGTCCCTGAGAGTCATGTAGCATTTCCCCAGCGGCTTGGGCCCTGGAACAAATCACCCTCTCATTCAAGAAACAGGTCCATGAACCTATACTGTTCACTCTGGAGGAGCCAGAGAAGTCCTGCCCTTAAGTTTGTGACCTATCTGGGGACGTCTGGGAAGGGTGAGAAGAATGTCTAGATAATAAGCCTGTCTTGGAAGCGGATGTTGCCTAAGGAGGGATTTGAGCTGGGCCCTGGAGATTGAGAAGGTGTAAGAGGTGGGGAGAGAGAGAGTGCTGGGGACCTTCTGCTAGCCCTTCCCACCTGCTCTCTCCCTCCACCATCCCCTGTGCCCAGGAGGCCAACCCATGCAGACTCCACCAATGGGCTTGGGTTTGCCCAATGGGAGGCACCGGAGGGGAGAGAGGAGGAGAGTGAGGCCCCTGCCTCTGTTGCTGTGGGTTGGCTCTGAGATCCCTCCCTAAGGCCACAGCTCCAAACAGGTGGCCCTCTGAGCTTAGCCACTCCGCCAGCTCTGGTAACCACGTCCTCCCTGTGCTTCCAGCCTGGGTGCCAACAGCGCCTCTCTATGTCCAGCCCGGGTATTACTGTTATCTCTGCTCCTGGCTCTGTAAATAGCCTTTTAAAACACTCGCCTCAAATTAAGTCTTCGTGTGCTTCATTTTCTGCCAGGAACCTTGTGGGGAAAAAGGCAATTCAGAGATAGGGGAAGCTGGGTGGGCAGAGGGGGAGGGAGTGCACAGACCTTTCTGGCTGAAATGAAAGGTGGGAGAAGAGAGGAGGTTGGAGTCTCCAGTGTGAAGGGCTTTAACTACTAAGCAAAAGAGTAGGAAGTCCCTGGAGATTCTGGAGAGTTCTGTAACCGGCATCTCTCCTCTCTTCTAGGAGCTCCTGCCTGTAGCCCGAAGCACCCACTGCCCTCCCCGCTCTGAGAGGCTGTCCAGCCAGAGGGTAGGCATGGCGAGGCTGGGAGGCCCCTGCCTCTGCAGCTGCCTGGCTGTGCTCTCCCTCCTCCCCTTGCGGAGCCTGGCGCAGTACGAGAGCTGGCCCCACTACCCGGAGTACTTCCAGCAGCCCGCGCCCGAGTACCACCGGCCTCAGGTGCCCGCCGATGTCGCCAAGATCCAGCTGCGCCTGGCGGGGCAGAAGAGGAAGCACAGTGAGGGGCGGGTGGAGGTGTACTATCAGGGCCAGTGGGGCACCGTGTGCGATGATGACTTCTCCATCCATGCTGCCCACGTCGTCTGCCGGGAGCTGGGATACGTGGAGGCCAAGTCCTGGACGCCCAGCTCCTCCTACGGCAAAGGGGAAGGTAACACTCTGTGCTTTGAAACTAGTGCGCGTCCCCTGGAAACCCTGGGATGGGCTGCATGCGGTTAGCCTGGGAAAGGAATCTGCAGTCGCTGTCAAGTCTGAATTCCTGATAATTCCATCTGGGCAGCCTTCAGCGTTTGTGCAAGAAGGTGGGAGTGGCGGGGTGCTGGGGAACCCTACAGTGACCAACAGGCCTGCTTGCCAGATTCCCCGGTTTTAGTGTGAAAAGTCTGGTGTCCTCGGTGAACCAAACTGGTGGGTGCCTGAGGCAGGGGCTGAGTCAGTCTGTGCTCCTCTCCCCCAGCATGTGGCCTGGCTGGGGCTGCAGCGGCCAGCAGAGCTGGTGCCTTCCTCCCCACCAACCTTCCAAGGGCTTCCTTCTGCTCTTTCTCACAAAGGCTGCCAGAGGCCACGTTCTGACTCCACACGCTCCTGTCCCTAGTTCAACACTCAGGTGCTATTTTGAGCTTGGCCATAGCAGGAACATAGTTGCTTTGGGTTAATCACTAACTAGAGGCCCAGTGCATGAAATTCATGCACTGGGGGGTGGGGGGTGGGAGGGGGGTCCCCTCTGCCCAGCCTGCACCCTCTCCAATCCGGGACCCCTTGGAGGATGTCCAACTGCCAGTTTAGGCCCAATCCTTAAACAGGCAGTCAGACATCCCTCTCACAATTCTGGACCACTGGATCCTAATCGCTCACCTGCCTGCCTGCCTGGTTGCCTCTAACTGTCCCCCCTCCTCCCTGCCAGCCTGATCACCCCTCACTGCCTCTGCGTGTAGCCTGGTCACCCCTAACTGCCCCTGCTGCCAGACAGGTTGCCCCCAACTGCCCCCCCTCTGGCCTGGTCACCCCTTACTGCCTCTGCCAGCCTAATCGCCCCCAACTGCCCCCCCCCCCCCCGCCAGGGTGGGCCCCCCCAACTACCACCCCTTCTGGGCTTGTTTCCCCAAATAACCCCCAACCCTTTGGCCGGGTGTCCCCCAAGTTCCCCCTGGCAAGGTTTGCACCCCCTGCCGCGAAGGTTAAGAGAATTGGCCCGCCCTTAAAAACCCCCTTTCATACCTGGGTTTTTGAAGGCATTCTTTGAGGGATTGAGAGTTGAGTAGCCCATGACCTGTGTAGAATAAAGAAGGGGGGCAGAGTAAATCATTTTTGACACGCAGGGGCTGGTACCTAATGGACCCAAAAAAACCGTGTGTAGCCGAACTAACATAGAACTTAAAGCCAAAGTGGTAATTTGTCTTGTGGCC